AAAATTATAATCAAAAGTAGAGTGCTTTCCCAAGTCCTGTGAGCTGTTCCAGAAAATTACCAAACTTACGGCTGGGTCATGGGAACTCCTGACTTTTTAGTTAGCTGGGAGGTAGCTGAGGACCACACTTGTGGTTGGTGTCTAAAGTGGGAGCAGTTTTGAAAGGTTGAATCCTTAACCTTTGGAGTCTACCTTTGAGTCTTAGTTCTGCTATATTTTCTAGGTGACCTTGACAAGTAGTCTAACCTCTTTCAACTTCAGTTTTCCCATCTGTGTAATGGGATTGCATATTAGCGTCTCTGAGTTGTTCTGAGGCATATATGAGATGATGTAATAAAGCACAAAGCACAGTGTCTGTCACATTAAAAACACTCAATAAATATTAGCTTAAAGTTTAATACTAGTATTATTAATAAAGCAAGTTTGTGCCAGGCCACTCTGGTGATACAATCAAGTAGGTATGTTTTAGGTACATATTTGTGTCTGGTTCTCCAGTCATAATCTAGGAAACATATTTCCTTTTTTAAAATATGGACACATCTGAAGAATAAATGAGAACTAGAATTCAAAATACAGAAGAGCCAGTCCTGTAGCGTAGCAGGTAGAGCCTCTGCAGTGCTGCCATCTCATATGGGCATGGGTTCGTGTTCCAGCTGCTCCACTTCTGATCCAGCTCTCTATTATGGCTTGGGGAAGCAGTGGAAGATGGCCCAAGTCCTTGGGCCCCTGCACCCGCATGGGAGACCTGGAAGAAGCTCCTGGCTCCTGGCTTCAGACTGACGCAGCTCCGGCCATTGCAGCCATTTGGCAAGTGAACCAATGGATGGAAGGTCATTCTCTCTCTCTCTCTCCCTCTTTATAACTCTTTCAAATAAATAACTTAATCTTAAAAAAAAAAAAAAAAAAGTGAGAAGCATACAACAGAGGGTTTATGCCCTTGCACAATTACTTTTCTCCTAAGTCTGTAGGGCCCAAAACTGTTTTGTAAGCTTCCCTAGATGAAAAATTCTATTTTTTTTTAAAGAAAGTATCTGGGGAAACTTGACGAGTGAATCATTTGGAAATATTGACTTGAGCTGTTGCTTAATATTTTGTCTGTGTTTTAGGGCACTCAGTAGCTGAAGTCCCTGAATTTGCTGCTAAGGATCCTCTATTAAGTCCCTGGGACTGCTTCTGAAAACATTGCCAAACATCCTCCATGGTGGAAGTAAGAGAGTCCTCAGATCCCTGCATGACCAGGAAGCAAGAAATTGATGAATGTGGAACAACAAACACACTGCGAATGAAAGAGGTTTTATTTGTTCATGAAGATTATACAACTGCCCTTTCTCCTTTGCTCTACTGCCCCCTCCTCTCCTTGTTCTCCTCACACCACCTGGATTTAGTTGACTTGGCTCCTAAGGACACAATGTGCCTGCATTTGCTCCGAAATGTTATCACAGCAATACTGAACTGTAAATACCACTTTTGTGAAGTGTTGTTATTCAGTTTCAATCTCCTGAAATTGCATAAACATTGACCATGCCAGTTGCCCATACAAACCTTAGTTTGGTATCACCAGTTTATCTTTAACCCACTTTGCACGTCATGTTGAAAGTTTACTGAAATGTGCGTCCTAGCTGTTAGCTTTCCTCAACTAATATTTGCTTTTTAGAGTGGCAATGGTGTGCTTTGCAGAGCACATGGGATCTCAATGAAATCCCCCTAAACTTGCTCTAAAATCTTGACCCTGACCTTTTTTTTTTCTTTGAGGCTTTCGGTTAGGATGGGAGCAGAGCAGACTAATATATGGGAGAGGGAGAGGGATAGAGGAACAGAGAGTGACTGCAGGCAGATACCCCCTAACATCTCCAGAAATGGCTCAGTAGCCATCCCTGAAATCAGGTCATAAGCACTTTAAGATTTATGTTATTTCCCTTTCAAATTTTTCTCTCTCTCTTTTTTTTAAAAATTTATTTATTTATTTGAAAGGCAGAGTTACACAAAGAGAGAAGAGGCAGAGAGTGAGAGAGGTCCTCCATCCGATGGCTGCAACGGCCGGAGCTGCACCGATCCGAAGCCAGGAGCCAGGAGCTTCTTCCAGGTCTCCCACATGGGCGAAGGGGCCCAAGCACTTGGGCCATCTTCTACTGTTTTCCCAGGCCATAGCAGAGAGCTGAATTGGAAGAGGAGCAGCCAGGACTAGAACCAGCGCCCATGTGGAATGCCGGTGCTTCAGGCCAGGGCTTTAACCCGCTGAGCCACAGCGCCACGCCCCCCCCTTTTCAAATTTTTCTTGTATTATGCAGGAAATCATTACTCTTTTGTTTTAACTTGTGGTAAAATATACATAAACTTTATAATTTTACCATTTTAAGGTGTACAGTTCACATTAAGAACACTTGCATTATTGTGTAATCATCACAGCCATCCATATTTAGAACATTTTCATTGTCTTAAACCAAAACTGTAATTCCCCATTTGTCCTCCCCCTCAGTCACCTCTATTTTCTTATTTATTTATTTGTTTCAAAGGCAGAGTCTCACACACACACACACACACACACACACACAGATCTTCCATCCCTTGGTTCACTCTCTAAATAGCTGCAATGGCTGGAGCTGGGCCAGTCCGAAGCTAGGAGCCAGGAGCTTCTTCCAGGTTTCCCATGAGGGTGCTGGGGCCCAAGCACTTGGACCATCTTACACTGCTTTCTCAGGCACATTGGCAGTGAAATGCATTGGAAGCGGAGCAGCTGGGACTGGAACTGTTACTGGAGAATGGCAGAGTTCTTGTCTTCGCGCAAGAAAGAATTCAGGCGTGAGACAGAGAGTAGTGGGAGGTAAAATAGCAAGGTTTATTAGGGAAGGGACATCCATAAAAATGGATGGGACCTCTGCAGACAGGACCTGAGAGAGTGCCCAGTCGCTCGGACTGGCGGGGGAGGGGGGAACTGAGGTTACATGGTTGAGTAGAGAGAGTACACCTGACCAGGTCAGGCGGGCGGCTCAGCAGAGAGGCAGAGGGCTAAGCGTGCAGTCTGGTTGAGGCTGGGGGTTTTTAAGGAGATGGGCCTTGCTTCCTCACCTCTGCTCCTCTTGGAACAAAGGGCTTTTTGGATGTTGTTAGGAAACTGGCGCAGTTGGCCACATGGCCCAGCTACCTGAACCAGGCTCCACCCCCATCCTAATGGGATTGGCTGCTCCTGCTTCCCTGCCCGCCCTCAGGCAAAGTTTTAAAAGGGCCTGTTCCTGAACACATGCTCTCTTGCCCCTTCTCTCCTGCTCTCTCAGTTCCTCTCTCTAGCCTCCTCCTCTGGTCTCTTGGCTCCGCTCTCCTCTCTCCTCTTCTCTGCTCTATCTTCTCTCCTTGCTAGCTCTTCTCCTCTCTGTCTCTCTCTCTTACAGTCTCCCTCCCTTTTTTCCTTCGCCTCCCCTTCACTCTGTAGGTTGTTCCCCAATAAACCCGTTCCCTTACTAAGGTGTCTGGTGTGCTTTGCGACGGCTAACATTAAGATATAACAGATGTAAATAGAAAAACTTCTGAGTTTTCTCCCTGAAGTTATCAGACAGGGGGAAGTCTGGCTGGTGCCTGGCCTGTTAGAGGAAAGGTGATCAAGACCCCCTGGAGAATCGGGATCCGGAGCAGGGTGTTTGAAATGCAGATACTGGGCTGCATCTGGGAGCTTGTGGAAGATTGCCAGGCAGAAGGGGCGGGGACCCCCACCTCGCAGGTTATCCGGTAGAAGGGGCAGGGCAGGATGCGAACATTGGGCTGCCCCTGAAACAGATGCCTTTGAGATGCAGATGCATATGCTGGACATAGATGTCTTTTCTTTAGGCCTTTATGTCACACACACATAAGCTCATATCTGACTTCCTACCTAACAGAACCAGCACCTATATGGAATGCCAGCACCACAGGCAGCAGCTTTACCTGGCCGGCCCCCATTTACCTCTAGTCTAATTTGTGTCTATGAATTTGACTACTGTAGAATCAGAATCAAAATGGAGTGAGCGTGGCTAAAAGCTAATTGCAGATCTCTTGCTTCTGTACATATTAGCTTTGCTTGCTCATGGCTAAGCGTGTATCTTGTGAAACTACGTGGGCCCAAATTCCCAGGAACTAGGTTGACAGAAATGTTTCCTTCACTGTTATCTTACAACCGTATTTCTTTTCATTGCTCATTGCATACCAGGGGCCAGTTCGAAATTGTGAGCCCTAGTGAACAGATTACTATAAAAAGCTGTGTAACCCGCTGTTGGGGGATGCACTCTGGTAGGGAGTATCGGTCCCGATCAGTTGCCTTGCCTCTCATTTGTCTCCCATTTTCAGTAAAATTCATGTGTGACTGTCACTGGTTTTTGTAATACTCTATTTTAGCTGATGAGCAGATGCAACACTATTCTACATTCCTCATGTAAGTGGAATCATACAAAATGTGTCCTTTTTGTGTCTAACTTACTTTCCTTAACATAGTACCTTTAAATTACATCCATGTTGTAGTTCATGTCAGAATTCCCCTCCTTTTTAAGGCTACTATGCAGGTACTACATTTCATTCATCCATTCAGCTGTCAACAGACACTTGGATCCTTTCCACCTTTTGACTGTTGTGAATAATGCTGTTATGAATGTTGGTGTACAAATAGGTGGAGCCTTCAACAAGTTTATGGAAAATCTGTAAAATCTTTTCATTCCATTTGCCGATGAGCTTTTTAAAGTATCCTTATATCTGAGTCCTGACTTTCACTTCTCTTGAGTATATATCCAGAAATGAAACTGCTGTAACATATGGTAATTCCATGTTTATTTTTTAAATTTATATTTTAAATTTATCATTATTTTAAAATTTTATTAGTTTTTGGAACTTTGAAAATACATTAAGGAAAAAGAAAAATTAGTTACAAGTAATCCCATCACTTAAAAATAACCACCATTGGGCTGGTGCTTGTGGCTTAGTGGGTAAAGCTGCTGCCTGTTCTTTGCCTCGTGTAAAAGAATTATCACGTGGACACAGCATTGAAAGTAAAATAGGGTTTATTCAGGTTGGAAACCTCCTGCCAAAGCGGCAAAGGGGGGGGGGGTCCAAGAGAGGGAGCCCAAGGGCTGGTGATAATGAAGTTTTTAAGTACAATCTTGGGTAACAAACTGTCAATCAAGGAGGTAGGAACAAACTCAACAATAGATCTGATTTACAAGTCTCCATCCTTTTTGCCTTGTTTAAGATAAAAATCATCCCTGAAGGGCAGAGGAGGAATCACTACTTCTTGGCTATTTTCATGGTAAATTTGTAAATTTGGAGATTCCTAAGGGAGCTGGACACATTGATCTGCTAAAGATAACGGAGAGATTTGTAAGGAAGCAGGATAATTTGATCTGCCAAAGATAAACTTCTTTTGGGGGGAGCAGGCACCTCGCAATTCAAAATTTCTACCTAGGGACCACTCTGGCTGCCTATTACCCATTTAACTACCACCAGCATCCCACGTGGGCGCCAGTTGGAGACCTGGCTGCTCCACTTCCGATTCAGCTCTCTGCTGTGGCTTGGGGAAGCAATAGAAGATGGCCCAAGTCCTTGGGCCCCTATACCCATGAAGGAGACCCAGAAGAATCTCTTGGCTCCTGGCTCCTGGCTTCAGATCAGCGCAGCTCTGGCTGTTGCAGCCATTTGGGGAGTGAACCAGCAGATGGAAGACCTTTCCCTCTGTCTCTACTTTTCTTAACTCTGCCTTTCAAATAAATAAATAAATATTTTAAAAAATTAGCAAGACAGTATTTACCCTTTCATACTCCCCTCCCCCCTCTTTTCAACAATTTATTTATTTGAAAGTCAAAGTTACAGAGAGGGAGGGAGAGCACAGATGGCTACAATGGCCAGGGCTGGACCAGGCCCAAGCCAGGAGCCTGGAGTTTTTTCTTGGTCTCCCATGTGGTTGGCAGGGGTCCAAGCACTTGGACCATTTTCCACTGCCTTTCCCAGGCCATTAGCAGGGAGTTGGATCAGAAATAGAGCAGCTAGGACATGAACCGGCGCCAATGTGGGATGCCTGTCTTGCAGGTGGTGGCTCACCCTCCCTCTCCCAGTATAGTTTTCAATCTATGCAAATATCCATAAGAAAAATAAAATTTAATCTCTGGGGCCAGCACTGTAGCATAGCAGGTAAAGCCGCTGTCTGCAGTGCCAGCATTCCGTATGAGTGCAGATTCAAGACCCAGCTGCTCCACTTCCGATCCAGCTCTCTGCTATGGCCTGAGAAAGCAGTAGAAGATGGGCCAAGTGCTTGGGTGTCTCTACCCACATAGGAGACCCAGAAGATGCTCCTGGCTCCTGATCAGCCCTGCTCCAGCCATTGCAGCCATTTGGGAAATGAACCAATGATGAAAAATCTCTCTCTCTCTGCCTCTGCCTCTCTGTAACTCTGCTTTCCAAACAAATAAATCAATCTTTAAAAAGAAATATTATCTCTAGGGCCATAGTGATTAAGATGTTTGGCATAATGGTTAAGATGCCTGCCTCCCATATCTGAGTACATAGGTTTGATACCCACCTTCAGCTCCCTGCCAATGCAGACCTTGGGAGGCAGTGGTGATGGTTCAAGTAATTGGGGTCTTTCCACCCATGTGGAAGACTTGGTTGAGCTCCTGGCTACCAGCTTTGGCTTCAGCCCAGTCTTGGCGGCTGTGGATATTTAGTATTTAGGGAATGAAACAGAAGATTGGAGCTGTTACTCTCTCTGTCCCTCAAATAAATGAGAAACTTAATGAATCATTTCTAATCATCTCAGCAACCATCTAAGCAGGCACTGTTGTTCCGCTCACTGCCAGGTGAGGGAATAGAGACTCGCTGAGCCAGGTGTGCACTCTGGTGAATAGGGGAGCCGCCTGGGTTGGAAGGGGAGGTTTAGTATCCTTAAGCTTCTTAGAAGAGCACATGGTCTGGATTCAGGTAGAAATGCAGGTAGAAGAGGAAGCTAAGGCTGGAGGAGGGGATAGCCCTGGTTCAAGAATGCCAAATGAGATTAATGACATATTTGCTGCTAGAATTCAGACCTCCCTGATTTGACCTTTTCCTACCATGACACGCCCAGCCTGGCCCTGCCCTTATGCTTCTCAAACTTCATTATGAGAAAATTCCTGGGGCAATCTACTCTTGGAATTTCATAACCAGCAAGTTCAGGCCAAGGCTTTGGAAATCTGCATTTCAAGCAAACACTCAGGTGATCCTTGGATAACACTTTGGAATCACTGTCTGGGATCCTTGGACAGTCACCTTAGGATCACATGCTCACGAGAGCATGAGTCAAGGCATTTGATTACTGAGAACACTAACGTCTCCCAGGCATCCTGAATGTCCCTGAGAGCTAGAGACTATGAGTTAGCTCTGAAAGAGTCGCTCAAGCACTCAGCCCAACTATGGTTTAGCATCCTAGGAGGTTATTCATCCCTCCCTTGCAGCCCTTTCATGTCCATAGGCTTCTCTTGGAAGACTCACTTTCTGTTCTGGTCTGTGGTTATCTACGAACGGACCTCAAGGAGTCCAAAGACAAGCTGAACTCAATTCCTAGACACTGCTCTTACCACCTACCACCCATCCCGTGCTGGACTGCATGGACCTTGCAGAATCTACTTTCTCACTCAAGCAACAAGAGTGTACTAAAAACCTCTGTGCTAGATGATGTGCCAGGTGCTGGTGATGCAGACAAGCCTGTCCACTTCCCACCACCCAGCCCTCATCCAGCCAGCACTGGACCTTGTTGGTTCCACAATTCATTCTCTAGCACCCTTCGATGCCCCTGATCTACTCCATCCTCCAAGAAACAGAATTTAAATATAGATCTGATTATGTTGTCCCCCCTACTCTCAGCGTTCCAGAAGTTCTCAACAGTTCTTGGATGAGGACAAAAATTCTTTCGTCAATGATTTTAAAATTTAAATTGAAGAGCTTTCCTCCTCCTCATTATTATTATTTTTCTAGTAGCTTCACGGTTTCAAGTCTCACATTTAGGGAAGTCCAAAATGCTTCCCTGGCCTGCCTGTCCTGATGCCACTCATGTCTTGTATTCCAGCCTTGTCCTCCCTCACTGTTTGTCCTGCAGTCACTGTGGAGTCCCTCAGATCGCTAGGCCTTTAGTGGTCCCTGGCCTAGGAAGTTGTCCTCACTGCTGACCCCGGGATGGGGTGTGATATTAGGAGTGAACCCCTGAAAGAGGAAGTGGGAGGAAGCAGCATGGGCAGAGAAAGGAAAACCGTGACACAGGCCTGACAAAGCCTCAGCCAACCTGCTGGGGAGGCCCTGGGGCAGTGGAGGTGACAGGATTTGTGTGTCTTGCCTTGTGTGCTTCAGCAGGGAGGTGTGACTGCCATCTCTGTGTCTACCACACCACCAGTACTGCTATGCCTCATCAACCTCAGGGCGGCTCATGGCTCACTTTATCTGGGAAACCTTCACTCAGACCTCTGGGCTCTCATAAAATGCCGCCCTGTTCCTCCCCAGCACTCATCAGTTTGTAATCATGTTTGAGTATGTGATTATTGGGTGGATGTCTGCCTTTGCTAAGAAACTCTGTTCTGTGCAGACAGGGACGGTCTGACTCATTATAGTCCCAGAACTTAGCCAGTACCTGGCATATAGTCTGTGCCCAACGAAGTTGTTGAAGATGAAGATCGCTACCATGTCTTGCACACCTATGATTCTCCCAAGTTTGTGGGTAGAAAGGAGCTTGGTGTGTATTTGAAGGAAAGACATTCATGATTATTTCAATTAGGTTTTTAGCTTTAATATTAAGGAGGCTGCTTGTCCCTGACCGTCATCTAGGCAGCAAAATAAAAGCAGAGTTCAGGGGCCAGCGCTGTGATACAGCAGGTTAAGCCACTGTCTGCAGTTCGGGCATCCCATATGGGTGCCAGTTCAAGTCCTGGCTGTTCCACTTCTAATCCAGCTCACTGCTATTGGGCTCAGGAAAGCAGCAGAAGATGACCCAAATCCCTGGGCCCCTACCACCCACATGAGAGACCCAGAAGAAGCTCCTGGCTCCTGGTTTCATTGTAGCCATTTGGGGAGTGAATCAGTGAATAGAAGATTCTCTCTCTCTCTCTCTCTCTCTCTCTGTCTGTCTTCTTTGTAACTCTTTCAAATAAATTTTTTTTTTAAAAAGCAAAGTTGAACCTATTGCTGCAATCATAATAGCTACCATCCAAAGAGTTTCTAAAGGCTCAGTGCATTGCAATGAGCAGTTCAAATTTCTCAGTCCAGGGAGCTACACATGCCCAGTCTTTATGCGTGCGTGGGGAGGGGGGGCGAGTGAGGTGCTGTAGACCTGGGTTAAGAATCACAATTCCTGCTCTCTGTTTTACTGAACCACTTGAATGTATCATCTCTGTGCATCTCTGAGCATCATCTGTGAAGTGGGCATAACATTGTCTGCTCTTTTGGGTGTAGAAGTGCCTTGCTGATTGCCAAGTATGGTTTGCAGGAACACAATGGGATTCCTCAGAGACCGATTGGCAGTGCACATATCAGGAGTACGAAGTCCTTGTTTTTGACAAGGATGACGCAGTAATCCACCTAAAGGGGCTGTGTCCTGGGTGTTGCTTTTCCCAGTGATGCAACTGGATTTGTGCTCACCTTTCTGAGTTCTCCCTCCCAGCTCCTGTGTCCCTACTAATCAGGGGTAGACGAAGAGAGAGGAAACGGTGCACCGACCTATGGTGGACAGCGAGGGACTGCGTTTGCATCATAGGCAGGTCAAGGTTAAGCATGTTTTGGAGGTGGCGGGGTGTGTTTTTCTCCCCAGCTGGGCAGAGTACATGACAACATGACATTGAAGGCAGTGGAGTCCTCCGAGGAGCCAGTTAAGCTCACTGTGGGGCAGTCTTTTACCTGGTAACTGAATACCTGCCATTGAGACAGAGGCTGGGACAAGCTAGTGTAGACACAGGTGCTGAGGGTGGGACCAGTAGATTACCTTTCCAGAGCCCTGGGTAGGCCTGTTTGCTAACACAGAAATACTCAGATATCTCTGATTTCTATTGTTTCCCCTGCCCTGTCCCCTTTCCCCTGTTTGCTGGTAACCTAGTTCATCAAAGTGAATGGCATTCTCTTGACAAGGGTGACCAAGCGTGAATCACAGCATTAGCTTCCCAGCGTTGGCTTGTACACAATCCCCTCCTTGAACTTTCTGCTTAGCTCCGGGAGGCAGGTGTTGTCATCTCCATTTTACATGAGGAAACTAGGCTTGCGCAGGCTTCGGATAAACAGCAAGCGGCTGGATGCAGCTATGGTAAAGCCTGGGTTTCCTGCCGTCTTTTTCTCATATTAAGCACCTCCTGCCCCTGACTTGAACAAATCTAACACGTATATGTGTTTTTGTTTTTGTTGTGGTGTGCAAGCTGTGGACTTTCTTTCTACTCGAAAACATCTAGACTTACTGAATTTCCAAGACAGGAAGGGATCCGAGAGACCTTTTAATCCAATTTACTTTGCGGATGGAGAATCTGAGGCCAAGAGGAGTGACCACTCCCGATCCTCTCTGCAGATTGTGGTGTCCCAAGTAGCTGAAGCCTCTCCTATTCCTACCTATCCTACACCACACCTAGCCTTGCTCTGCACCGGCTCTGGGTGAGCCAGGAAGGGTTTTGTCTGGAGATACTTTTGCCAAAGGTAATAGTTACTCTATGGTGAGCCCTCATTGCTCAACAAATATTTACTGACTGCCTACAAGGGAACTAGTAGAGGTGCTGCGGATTCCACGAACAAGAAAAACACTGTCCTTTGCCCTTCTGGGGGTTTACATGGTTCATGGGGGCTGGGGGGTGGTGGTGGTGGTGGGGGGGTGATGAGTGAAAAGTACCTCACCAGGACGTCAGATGCTAGAAAAGAAATAAATTGGAAGTAATGGAGGTGAGGTAGGGCTTCAAAGGGATGGTCAGGAAAAGCCTGCCCAGCTGGTGCATGGTCCCGTAATTCTTGCAACGATCCTTAGAGACTGTGGGCAGATCCCCACTTTGCTATCAAGGCAATTGACGTTCATAAGGGGTCTGAGCGGCACGGTCTAAGGCTAGGCGCCTAACCTCCACTGCCTACCAACCTCGGTGAGCGGCGGTGGCAGCATGGGGCCCTGGATGATGAAACTCGGGGGGAAGACTGCACCATCCTGCAGCCCGTCCTTGTAGATGTTGGGGGCTGGGAGTGGAGGGAGGCGGGATGCGCCTCCATGGAGAAGCTGCAAGTAGCTCTACACTCTCAAAAGCGGCACAGACCACTACACTAGTCCGGCCCCAGCCAGGACCTCTATCCCCCCACCCCCATCCCCGCCCCCCACCTCCGGCGAGGACAAAGAACCCGCCCAGCCCGGGGCAGAGCCAAACGGCTGCTCCCGCCTCCTGGCCGGCCCCCGTCCGGGCCTGCGCGGGGCACTGTGGGACGTGTAGTTCGACTAGCTCCCTACAGCGACTCCGGCCATGACCAGGAGAACTACAAGGCCCAGGAGCCAGCGCGCAGGTTCGAGGCGGACTCGGCGCCGGTGGGTGTGCGAGCGCAGGGGGCCGGGCGGTGCGGGAGCAGAGCGCAGGGATGCGGCTGAGGGAGCCCCGGCCGGGGAGCAGCTTCAGGCGCGCGCTCTAGCCCCTCGCTGTGAGGGGCGGTCTGGCGGCGACAGGCACGTTGCATGCCCCCCTTGGGCGCAGCCTTTGCAAATCTGGCGGTGCATTTGGCTTTGGCGCTGCCGTGGCGCGGCGGAGGGTCCTGGTCGCCGGGAGATGGGCACGCAACCCCAGAGCTGGGCTGGCACCGCTCGCTGAAGAGAGCCCTTGGCTGGGCTGGGGGTGGGGTGAGGGTGCCTGCCTTGGGCTGTAGGCGACGCGTTCTCGTTCTCTTTTTGTGTCAGGATTTCCCTCGGCAGGCGCGCGATGCAGCGGGCGGCGGCGCTGGTCCGGCGGGGCTGCTGCCCCCGGACCCCGGGCCCCTGGGGCCGTAGACAGAGCAGCGCGGCCGCCGAGGCCTCGGCCGTGCTCAAGGTGCGGCCCGAGCGCAGCCGGCGCGAGCGCATCCTCACGCTGGAGTCCATGAACCCGCAGGTGAAAGCGGTGGAGTACGCGGTGCGGGGACCCATCGTGCTCAAGGCTGGCGAGATCGAGCTGGAGCTGCAGCGGGTGAGCGTGGGCGCCGGGGGCCCCTGGGGGGCGGAGGGCCCGGGAAGCCCGGCGGCGACCCCTGCCGCCCACCCCCTCCCCACCCCAGGGCCGACTCCCCCATCCCCTCACCCTCGAGCGCCGGGCACCTGGCACACAGTAAGGCCTTCAGACACGGTTCACTTGTTGAGCTGAATTCAATAATTGAGCGGCCCGTGCTGCCAGGAGCTGCACACGTTCGTTACGTGTCCTAAGCAGCGTGGAACCCAGATCCGTTGGAGGGAGGGAAGCAGCCCAGGAATAAAGAGACTTTCAGATAGTGAATACGGGCTTTGAAGAAGGCAAACCGGAGGCGGGCTGGAAGGAGGCTGCTGGGCGCAGCGGTGGGAGGGAAGCCGGCGCTCAGGAGAGTTTGTTCCAGACGTCGTTTCTCTCCGTCTTGAGGCCTTTTGGGTCTTTGCCAGTTATGATTCCCTGACAAGAGCAGGGGCGTGGAGGAGGGCCGGGCGGAAAATCTTGTTTTAGGCCCCCCGAGGAACCTTGGCTGGCAGCAGGCTCTCTGCCCTGGGACGGTCGCTGCGGGTGGGGAGGCAGAGGACTGGGCCCTTTGGGGACTTGATAAGGTGACCCTGGGACTGTCTTCATCTTGGGGACTGGCAGGATCTTGGCTTGAGCTCACAGCTGCCTGTAGAGTGACCACATGACCAGGAGTGCCGGGTGGGTGTAAAAGGTGGCCCTGTAGGCTACCCGATTCTCACCTGGGTGGAATTCTGGAGGCAGCGTCAAAGAAGGTTGTCTGAAAAAGGAAACACTTCTAAGAACTGTGAAAAGCCGCTGGTTGCATCGCCCAGCTGCTTGCTCAACATAGTTCTGAGCCAGAATGTGTGGCATGGGGGCAGGACTCCGGGAGCTTTTTTCTCAGAGGCACCACGTCCCAGTGCCCAGGGGTGAAGTGGTCACTTGGTGTCCCTTGAGTACTTGGGAGGTAGCCTCAAGGGGACTATGACACTTGGCCCCCATTCCTCTGGGGACTTTGGGAGTTGGATGAACTCAGGGCTTGCTAGGACCTCTTGGGGACACCCAGTTCTGCTGACTCAAAACAGTGAGCTGGCCGAGTCAGAGTCCAGTGTCTCCTGCCGACTTCTTGCAGGGCTAAGTTTAAAGGCTGGGCCAGAGAAGGCCCATTTCTGTGCTTCCCACGGAGGTGGGCCCTGGGCTGGCACGTGGGTTTCTCCCGCTGTGCTCCTTATTGATATTTGGCAGGCAGCAGCTGACCCTCCTGGAGGCAGCAGTTTCTCTGCTAAAACAAAGCTGGGATTAAAGTATTCCAGTTTATCACATTACAGCTGATTCCAGAGTCGGGAGGGGTTCCAGGAATGATCTCCACCTTTTGCTAAATAGCAGGTTCTCTGTTGGCGCTTCCCTGTTGGAGAGAGAGCTGATTGCCATATTGTTCGCTGGGCTCCAGCCTCCCTCCCCCAGTTCATTAAGGATT